GCTGAAATTAAGTAGAAAAAAATAAACAAATGAAATAAGGTAGAAAGAATAAATAAATGAAAAACATGGTTCTATGTAGCAACCAAAAATAAATAGATAAATGCCTACTAACTTCATTAAAATATAGAGGAGAGAACACAAAAACAGACAAGATCAAGTCCAAGATAAAGATGCATGACTACAGATGAGGAGATATTTTTAAATTATAAAATAAGAGGACACTACACGCTCAACTAAATTTTTGGCAACAAATTTGAAAATTCAGAAGAAATGCATAATTTCCTAGCAAAATACAAATGACCAAAATTGACCCAAAAAGATTTAAATAGATTACCACAGAACACATCAGAAAGGTGATTAAGGGTCTACCCGTTGAAAAAAGGCATCAAGACGAGACGGTAAGTTTTATCTTACCTTTAATTTTTTTTTTTTTTTGAGACGAAGTTTCCCTCTTGTTACCCAGGCTGGAGTGCAATGGCGCAATCTCGGCTCACCGCAACCTCCACCTCCTGGGTTCAGGCAATTCTCCCGCCTCGGCCTCCTGGGCAGCTGGGATTACAGGCATGCGCCACTATGCCCAGCTAATTTTTTTGTATTTTTAGTAGAGACAGGGTTTCACCATGTTGACCAGGATGGTCTCCATCTTTTGACCTCATGATCCACCTGCCTCGGCCTCCCAAAGTGCTGGGATTACAGGCACACACCACCATGCCTTGCTAATTTTTATTTTAAGTTTTTGTTTTGTTTGTTTTGTTTTGAGACAAAGTCCCAGTATGTTGTCCAGACTGCTCTCGAACTCCTGGCCTCAAGCAATCCTACCTCGGCCTCCCAAAGTGTTGGATTACAGGCGAGAGCCACCGCGCCTGGCCTCAATCCTTAAACTTGAAGAAAAGAACACTAAGAAAAACATGACTCTAATCTCACGAATATTGAAGCAAGATTCTAAATAAAATATTGACAAATAGAACCCAGCAATGTATCAAAATAATAATATACTATGATCAGCAGGGTGTATTTCAATAATGTAAGAGTAGTTCAAACCTAGAAAATCTATCCATGTAATTTACTGTATTAAAAATTTAAATGAAAAACTCCCAACATGATTAATAGATGTAGAAAAAGCATTAGATAAAATACAGCTACCATTCCTTCTTTTAAAAAATCTTGGCTGGGCACAGTGGCTCACGCCTATAATCCCAGCTCTTTGGGAAGCCGAGGCAGGAGAATTGCTTAAAGTTAGGAGATCAAGACCATCCTGGTAACAAAGCAAGACACTGTCTAAATAAATAATTTAAAATCCCTACATAAATGTGAAAACTATTTTAGTATAATAGACTATTTAACAAATATCAACAGCAAATATGAACACAGAAAATATTTCAATTTAAAATCAGGTTTAGGCAAAAGTAGCCTACCAGCACAATTTTTATTTAACTCTGAATTTCTAACAAATGCAACAAGAAAATGAAATAACTGATATGACTATGGAAAAGAAGAGATAAAACTAAAATAAAATTTACAAGAACAAGAGAATTTGGTAAGATAACCAGATAAAAGATATCTTTAAAAATCAATAATCCTTTCCTATTCTAACAAAAAGCACTTAGGAATGGAAAGGTGAAAAATATTCCACTCATAATAGGGCAGGGGTGAGGGGAGCAATGCTGTTAATTCTTTTTCTCTTTTTTTTTTTTGGAGGGTAGAGATGGGGTTTTACCATGTTGTCCAGGATGGTCTTGAACTCCTGAGCTCAAGCAATCTGCCCACCTCAGCCTCCCAAAGTTCTGGGATTACAGGTGTGAGCCACTGTGCCTGGCTCAAAAGCTGTTGATTCTTGAGGAATAAATGCATCAAGAAAGATATAGAGCAGATATGAAGAAAAACATTAAAAGAAACACATAAGATGTAAACAGATGGAAAGAAATACTATTTCTTAGATAAAAGGAGCCATATAACTTAAAAACTGAAATATATACTTAATGCAATTCTAACTAGAATTCCACTAGGGTTTAAGAGAGGAAGGAGAATATAAGTGATCTTAAAATTTGTATGTACAAAAAAGTGATAGCAAATAGCCAAGAAAAAAAAAATTTTTTTTTTTTTTTTGAGATGGAGTTTCACTCTGTTGCCCAGGCTGAAGTGCAGTGGCACAATCCTGGCTCACTGCAACCTCCACCTCCAGGGTTCTAGTGATTCTTGCCTCCTGAGTAGCTGGGATTACAGGCATGTGACACCACACCCAGCTAATTTTTGCATTTTTAGTAAAGACAAGGCTTCACTAAGTTAGCCAGGCTAGTCTCGAACTCCTGACCTCAAGTGATCCGCCCGCCTTGGCCTCCCAAATTGCTGGGATTGTAGGCGTGAGCCATGGCACCTGGCCCAGAAAAATATTTTTTTAAGCCTAATGTAATCAAATCTATATAATTTGGGTACACAAATAGACAAACAGAAGAAACAATAGAGAATCCATAAGTAGATCCTAGCATACAAAACACTTAATAGCTGCAAACGTCACAGGGGAAAACAGGGATAATTTAATATATTATTCCAACACAACTTGTTACCTATCTTCAAGAAAACTAACCAAGACTGGAAATCCAGAAGCTATACAAGAGAAGAGTCATATCTTAATATTAAAATGCAAACAATTATATGGAAATATATTCCATCAACAAAGTCAATATAGGTGGGGCACAGTGGCTCACATCTGTAATCCCAGTACTTTGGGAGGCTGAGGTGGGCAGATCACTTGAGGTCAGTAGTTCGAGACCAGCCTGGCCAACATGGTGAAACCCAATCTCTACTAAAAAAATAAAAATTAAAAAAAATCAAAGTCAATATAAATAGATTTGGGAAAGATATCTGTAACAACGACGATAGACAAAGGGCTAAAATCTAAACTATACAAAGAGGTCTTAGAAATTAAGAAAAATATAAACAACCCATACAAAAATGTACAGATGATATAAACAGACAATTCAAAGAACAAATTTAATTAGAAAAAAATTGAGATAATACTGAAACTCACTAGTAGCCAAGAAACTACATCCGTTAGGTTGTCAAAACTACAAAAAACCATAACACCTACTGCTGATAGGAATATGAAGAAAATAATAATCTTGCATACTACATACAAAAGCAAAAAATGCAGTATAGCAGCCTGTTTTTGTATATCAATATGGCAACATCTATTAACATATATATTTATATATAAACATACATATATATCTATATACCTCCACCTACATCTATATCTATCTAAACTGAAAGTAACAGTATATAAGGGTGTATGAAAAATCATGTTGATTCAGCATTGAATGTAATGTCAGAAACATGCAAAGAAAGTAAATGTTCATTAATAGGGGAATAGTTGAATAAATAATTGTGTATCCATGAAATATTTTACCGATTATAAAAGAATAAGAGTTTACATCAATAGACTGTGATAGATTTCTATGAGATATTGTAGAATGAAAAAGCAAGATATATTAAAGTATATATAATATTCTATTTCTGTAAAACAATGAACAACAAAACATTCCAAAACTTGCGTGTGTGTGTGTGTGTGTGTGTGTGTGTGTGTATGCATCTGGGTATCTGTGCACATGGAGAAAAATGTGAAAAGATACATACTGTTTTGCTAATACACAGGCATAGTGTGGAAAGGTAGAGCTAGGAGCTAAAGACAAAAAGGGAAAAAAAAGGACCACTACAAAAAAAAAAAAACCCAAGCAATCTTATTCATGCATTTACACGTCTATGACTGCGCATTAATAAACCAAGTTAAATTTAGAAAAGATACAGTAAACACGTCAATATGATCTCTGCTTATTAAGAAATAAGACAATATGATCTCTGCTTATTAAGAAAAGTAAGGCAATAAACAAAATTATCTCTTGGTGCTTGGATTAGTGATGGATGATGTTTCTTCCTCACACGTCCCTGTGTTTTCCATAATGAGAATTGTTACTTTCATAATAATGAAATAAAACCAATAAATGTTACTTTTAAAACATTACACTGAATAATTGAGTTCATTCTGTAAAATCAAGGGAGGAAAACAGGGTTAAATACCCCTTTCCCTTAGGAGCTGTCCAAGTAAGAAATGTATGAAATCAGGATCCATTATCCCTCACCCAGCTGAAAGTTACTCACCTACGGCAAGAGACTAAGTGGCTATTTCAAGGAGCTATTTGAAGCAGGAAATGGGGTCCTTTTTCCCCTACCTAACACTTTAATGACTTAAGTAAATCAGAAAGCCATTTACACCACTCTCAATTATCCAAGAATCTGCTTGGCTCTTTATTTTCTGTTCCCTTCCTCTGGCTTGCGGCCATTTCACTGCTCAGGAACATCTCCAAAATGGGGGTCAGGGAAGGAGAAAAGAGATGAAATTAATTCAGTCGATTTAGCTTCTCATTAGCAACTCTAATAAAAGGTTTGATAAGTGAGGTGGTCACAACTCACGGTTAAAATGAGGGGTTCCAGGACTTTGATAATTTCATGTAAGTAAACTTGCCTTCAGAGAAACACTATTTGCCTGCAATATACTTTAATGAATTTGATGCTTGCTATTTTTATGAAAGTCAGAACTTACAACAGTTTATATTTTTCTCTCCTCACTTTAATTTGCACTTTAGGGAAAAAACCCATAAAAACATAAGAACAATGCCCTTCAATGTGAAGAACCACATCCTCAGTGGAGCAGTAGGCTCACAAAGCAAAGGTTCTTGAGAGAAAGGAAGCTGTCTGCACCCTAGCATGCTCTCAAGAGAAATTTTGGCAGGGCAGCAACCTTCCAAGGGAGCATGCCTTAGCCATACAACCCCCACTGGGAGGATTTGCTAAAAAGGATTTGACATGGCTCAACAAAAGCCAGGTCTCCACACACAATATTTCCCTGTTTCAGTAGGCCCTCACAGATCTTTGTCCCTTTGGGAGGTCCAGAGACAAAATGGTACAATTCCAAGGTGTTCAAGCAAAAAACAATTTTCTCTTACTTGAAGACAACGATAGCTCCCCGACATGGAGGGCAGGCCAGGAGAAAGATCTGCAATTGAAGAATTAAAAATGGTTAGCAAGAAAAAAATGCCAGACAGAGTGAGACAATGTTACTTTAACAATAACAAACAAAAAATAACCAAACCTCTAACACAATAATGTAATATAAAAATTTTTAAAGGCAACAGGTAGTTTTCCAAAGTACATGTTTGTGTGTGCATGCATGTGTGTGTGTGTTTGTGCACATGAGCACACACACATGAGAAAGAGAGGATGAGAAGACTCAATATTTCAACGCTTCAGTTTCAATATGACATAAGTAATCAGTCTTAAATTTAACCCAGGGCAGGTAAAAATAGATTCTGAGCATGGAACATGCACACACATGCCATCTGGTTTGCCTCCCATGGAAGAAGGTAGTTTTATCAATAGTCAACATTGCCAAATTTAGCAGATAAAAATCCAGATGTCCAGTTAAATTCAAATTCCAGACAAACAATGAATAATGTTTTAGTATAAGGATGTCCAGTATTTATTTTAGCTGGCAACCCTATCAAACTGCCATCCCCAGGTTCCAACCCTCCCTTTGATTGATTCTTTTCTTTCTAAGCATGCCTAGGTGCTTTTACTCTTCCATTCTCTTCCCAGGTCAAACCAAACAAAAAGAACCTTGTCCCAAGAGACAAATCAGTTCCCTGATACCTGGTATGACCTAGGTCCAGATTACAGTCTTTGGAAACCTGCAGCTGTGGCGGTTTGACCTTCCTCCATGCAGTGGTGCTCAAAAATTAAAAGGAACAAAAAAGTCCTATGCAGAGCTTGTTAAACATGCAAATTCCTGGTTTCCCTCATTAAGAATTCTGATTCCCCAAGTATGGGACTCCAGGAATCCTCATGCTTCACGAATGTCCCAGGAAACTGAAGCACTCCTGATAGCCTGAGATGCTGAATTTTTGCCCTTGAACTGAACAACTACAGGAGTCAAAGATGTTCACCAGGACTGAGGACTGACAAAGGAATAATACTCATGTTGGTAGTTTCTTCACCTGTAGTGACTTCATGGTGTGGTTTAGAAATTGTTGACATGTGTCCTTATGTTGTTGAGAGTTCTTATTAATATAGGATATCTGCATTATGGACTTGTTGCCTTTGTCACATGTATGTTCTTTAGTATGTGGTTCTTCAGTTCTCTCAGAGTGCATATTTAGAAGAAAGGAGTATTATAAGAAAAATCACTATAAGGAAAGACACCTGCACAAACCTTTGCCAATAAGAAGAGGAAGAAGAATGAAAAAGAGAAAGGGTCTTAAAAAATATTCAGCAGAGTCCATCACCTGCATACCTCATCAAAGAACCCCTCCAAGGAAATATCCAATAAGAATGTGCCTTTTCCGTTGACTAATTTAATTAGAAATACAAAGCCAGTGATAATTACAGGTCCACAATATTTTGTCAGTAATCCCAAAATCCAAAAAGCTCTAAAAACCGAAAGTTTGTTTTCTTCAAAGCTAATGTGATAGGAAAACACAACTTGAACTGAGGTTAGGCTATTTATAGACTTTATTTCTTCCACTTATAGTGAATATCCACGTTTCCCATAAAAAATAATAAGGTATTTAATTGTGGGGTACTGCCTCAAACCCCACTGGGAGTATATGTAAAAGACCACATGCACTGTACTACCTTTCTGAAATCTAAAAAATTCTGATTTCTGAAATATATCTGATCTTAATGGTTCTGGATAAGGATTACAGACTTGGAATTTCAATTATCCAAACACTGATTTATCCCCATTCCCCACCCCACCCCTCAGGAGCAGTCTAAGAAATAAACAAAACTAATATTCTTTACCCCGATCCAGCAGTAAAGTTACTCACCTTAGGCCAGGGACCAAGTTGGAGGCTGCACATAGTTACCCAGCATCAGGCACATCAAAGGCTACACTCAGAAGCTACAGTACACAGAGAGGAGGAAGGGGCCCCAACCACCTTAGAAAGGTCCTCAATACTTCTGGAGTCACCAGAGTCATGCCAGCAGCCTTCCTGAGCTTCTGGAATACCCAAGACACTTCCAACATGCTAAACAGAGAAGTAAAAATGCGACACTGGGCACCACAGTTAAATCTTACTTTTCTATACCCACAGACAAGAGGAGGTAAGCAGATTTTAGGGGAGATATTTCCCTTATAAGTCCATTTGGCTGATTCCAATCCACAACTTCCCTAGGCTGGAAGCCCAGAAAACTATTAAAGAGAACAAACGTCTAGTTTCAACCCAGTTGGTTGTCCTGTTTTCCTCCATCAGTCATGGATCTAACTTTAGTCCTTTCATCTTTTCTGTCTTGCCTATTTCTATCACTACATAAAGGGTATCTTCTTTTTTTTTTTGAGATGGAGTCTCACTATGTAACCCAGGCTAGAATGCAGTGGTGCAATCTCAGCTGACTGCAACCTCCACCTCCCAGGTTTAAGCAATTCTCCTGCGTCAGCTTCCCAAGTAGCTGGGATTACAGGCACATGCCACCATACTAGGCTAATTTTTGTATTTTTAGTAGAGACAGAGTTTCACCATGTTGGCCAGGATGGCCTCAATCTCCTGACCTCATGATCCACCCACCTTGGCCTCCCAAAGTGCTGGGATTACAGGCATGAGCCACCACACCTGGCCTTTTTTTTTTTTTTTTAAGAGACAGAGTCTCACTCTGCTATCCAGGCTGGAGTGCAGTGGTACAATCATAGCTCACTGCACCCTCCAATTTCTGTGCTGAAGCAGTTCACCTGCCTCAGCTTTCGAGTAGCTGGGACTACAGGTGTGTATCACCATACTAATTTTACTTATTTATATATTTATTTATTTTTGTGGAGACAGGGTCTCACTATGTTGCCCTGGCTGGTCTCAAACTCCTATCTCCAAGCAATCCTCCTCCTGCCTCAGCCTACCAGAGTGCTGGGATTACAGGTATGTCACTGTGCCTGGCCTCTAGGGTCCTTTTTCAAATCTGCTGACTTGACATGACTACATGTATCTGACTGAAAGGTTACTTATTACATTCCATTTCACCTCCTATGATGGTACACAGTTATCTGGAAATTCCTCATTATTCATATTACGTTTCCAGTAAACTCACGCCCACCTTTAGCAACTTCTCAGATTTAAGATACTGAATTTCTTCACCATGCTAGAGTCACATTCATATTCAACATTACCCAACAGAGCCACATAAAACTAACATTTTAATTCAGAGGTGCAAGGGCCCCCAGCCTTGACCTGAATATCCCTGCTTTCTTCTTTGCTTGGCTTCCAAATGCCTGAAAACTTTGGTGGCATGCTTTTTAGACTAGCAGGTGAAAAGCTAAACTATCACTTTGGCTGCAAATATAATAGGAAGAGAGGAGACTTAGAAGTTCAAACAAGGATGGTACAAAGATGAACATGTATCTGAGCATACCCCAGTACCAACCTGGCACTTTGCATTCATGCTGAAATCTGCCTAGCTCAGCGCCCGAAACAAAAGTCATGAGCAGGTAGCATACAGAGAAGTGCTACAGAGCACTTCTACTTTCCCACTGCCTGGGAGGCAGACAGGACCATGTTATTAAACCCCATTTCAGAGATGAGAAAACTGAGGGGAAAAGGTTCTGACAAGCTTTCTGACAAGAACCCAGGTCCCCTAACTCCCAGTTCAATGCACTTTCCACATCACACCTGACACAGACCAGGACTCATGGGGCTCCATTTCTTTAGATTCTAGTCCTGGCCCTTGACCACATGGCACAAAGGGAGTCACCCCAATAGCCCCATACTTGTGCCATCAGCCAGCTCATAAGATCTACTCTCTACAGTGTGAGACATGTCAAAACACAAACTCAAGTGGGCAGCAAACTGCATTTACACAGATAAGTTTTGGAGTCCCAAAGACAGGTTCATTATAGCTTCCACCTGTCTGTTGGAGGCACTTGCAATTCTTATAAAACTGAAGTCTTTGTTGGCTGTTTTTTCCAGAAAAATCCACAGGTTCCATTCAAAACCATACACTCTCACCACTTCCTCAGGAAAGATCTCTGTACTAACCTTCAGCTCTTTCCTAAACACCCAGTCTAGGCACCAGCTGTTACGCCGGTTCATCTTATACCTTTGAGCCTCTCTGGTTCCGGGTTCCCTCCTTCCCTACCCAACCTCTCAGCCATCACCTGGCCTGCTTCCCATTCCTGTTTCCCCAGTCATATCAGCCTCAAGTACACTGCCACCATTGTTCAGCCTCCCATCCACTTCTGCTCCACCCCAGGGTTACATTCAACAATCCCCATTTTCATAGCACCTAAAAAAATAGTTTTTGTACTCTGGAACAAGTGTTAGTACTATGAGAAATGTAACTGGGAAGGAGGGCCAGTCACCACAGGCCATCCTAAATGAGAGGCTAGCCAGGGTAATCAATGAAGGGATATGGGCAAACTAAACGAAAGAGAAACAGAGAGTGAGAGAGGTACAGCAGAGTGGTGTTTGGCCTAGCACACAATCTCCCCAGCTCCAGTTCTCCTGTCACTACCTCCTATGATGGCACACAGCTATCTGGGGATTGCTGAGGCCAAGTGCTTATGACTGTTACCCACCATAAGGAAGATTAACTCACTGGACTGCCCAAAGTTGGTCCTCTGGCTCTATCCATTGATGTTCATACTCTCAGGCCCTCATCTCAGGACCACTGCAATAATTTCTTCACTGGTCTTCCCTCCAAGCACACTACTACAAGAGGGATCTATCTAAAATGCCCCTCTGATCTGTCATTCTAAATCCTTCCATGGTTTGCCACTACCTACCAAAAAAGCTGAAGTTTCCTAGGATGGTAGACAAGGCCTTCTTTGCTCTGAATTCTGCCTATTTCTCCAGCGTGGCAGCCTCATGCATTATCTCAGGCTATACCCTGAATGTATTCATGTCAATTACTACACTTCTACGATCTCATTTTCCAACAGTTTAATTTTATTCAATTACATGGATATGTGGTAATTTACTCAACCAATATCCTCTGGTTGCACATGTAATCACATCT